AATGTTGTTCTTTTGTTTGTGATTGTTGAGCCCGTGGACCACGAAAGCTCAAGAAACCTCTGTATTACAACATATTTTTTATTAAAATGACTTTATCATAGCTCAACAAGTCCTGAAGTTGTTTGTCCCAGACTGAGGATTTTTCATCATAATACTACAAACATAACCGTCAATATATCCATTCTATCAATATGCTATAACCCCTATTTATAGGCCCAAAATCAAAGCTCTATAGTGAGTATGACACACTAGTTCGATTCAGTTCAGTTGTATAGACCCATGTGACAAATTTGTCTCAGATGGCTTTGCAATCTGAACAGTACATGACGTCCTGCGTCCTCAGACCCTCACGTAGGAAAACTAGGGGAGGTTAATGTTGATTAATAGAAGATAAACATACCGAGGAAGAGGAAGGGGCGGAGCTAAGTTTGCCTCCCACCAGTCACGGCATGTTGCAGCACATCTAGGGGCCGGACTAAGGCAGGTTTCGCTAAAACCAGCAAGACGCCAGAACGGCAGTAACAAACGGCACACACCGTCACTGGCTGTAGCTGATGTAAGGTATCAAGATTACCTGCCGCTATGATCCCCGTAGGAAGGACCTTGAGCGGCTTATCCCCTCGCCTGGGGTATACTGTGGCCTGGAGGGGTTTAGTAGGGCCTACTTTAGTGGGGTATAGTTTGGGTTGGGACAGTTTATCCCCCGGGGGATAGTCTGGCCTGGGCCCAAGTATACCCAGGTTGGGCCCAGGTATACCCAGGTTTAATCTCAGCCTGTTACACTGGGTCGTTTCACTCCTAACTGAGTCCTATCTGAAATGCGCTTCGTTGTAGTCCATAACGATTAACGTGGAGGAATTGTAGTTTCGCCGCTGCGGACTGACTTCGCTGACATGCGTCATAACTTCGTAGCTTAGTGACCTCAACCACCGGCGGTCGTCTTTTCTTAGATCCTCGTGAATTCTCCTGACCATCTTTCCTTGACCCTGGGACGTTTCACACAGGGGTCAAGGAAAGGTCGTCAGGTATGAAATGTTTTTGACAATTCGAACAGGAATAAATGTAGATGACTCTTTCATTGCTGCCGACACAAACAGATCCTTGGTCGTATTAACAGCTATCTTTGGCTGGCAGGATTCAGCGATATCAGCTCTGGCCCTGTGACTGTGGCACCGGGTGTCGCTGACTTCGTTTTTCTCAGAGTAGAGCTGCCAATGATCGTAGTTGATTTCTCGACAGGTGGGAAGAACCTGTTGGAAACACGAGGTGGTTGATGGTGATAGGCTGTAGTCCAAGTCCAATCTCCAGTCTAAACCCTAAACGCCCAGGGCCTTTACTGACTTCACCTGGTAAATGGTTCATTGCGATTAATTGCTTTAAAAAAAAATTACTTTAACGACAAAATGTAATAGTTTATGAATAAGTTAATAAATATCGTCGGATTTCATGTTTTTTTTTCTCTTATCTTTAATCTCTGTCCTTTCTGTTTAGGTTATCTTGTATTTAATGTCACATTGCAATGAGTAATAACCTTGGGCAAAGTCATCCGGGGTCCTAAAGGGTTGAAAATGTAAGAATGACTCAAAGTCTGTCAGTCCGTAAGGGGGGAGTTTGGGATTGGGCCTACTCGTCTGTAACATGAGCCGATCTGGGGGCGCAGTTGGAACACGCCGTCATGCCGGTTGCACTTGATTTATTTTTTGTTTGTGCAGGCATATGATATAGTGCCCTATCTTGTCACAGGCCGGCTCATAGCCTGTGGCAAGAATGAGGGGACACAAACACCAAGTATAGGCCAATCAAAAGAAGAGTTTATTATAAATCAAAAACTAGTAACTTTAAACAAAGAAAAGGAATGAGGTGTGCGAATGTCATAGTGTAAGGTGTATGTAAGGTGCATGGTTGAGTGAATCTGTATGTGTAAACATGACTGAGTGTGAACAACGTAAAACCTTCAGAGGAACAAACAAAACAGGAACATACCTGGAGGAGCAGAGAGAACAAAGAGAAGTGGTTAGAGGCCTTCTTATACCTAGAGCCCAGGTGGCTCCAATCGCTAAAGACCCTCCTCTGCCTGCAGGAGGAACCGCCCCTGCAAGGCCGAGGAGGAGCCGTGACACCCCCCTCCTTAAGATGAGGGTCCAACCCTCAGCCCCAAAATTTGGCCCACATTGAAAACAATCCAAACAGTTCCCTCAAAATACAACAAAAAGAATACCCGTCCTGGCTCCTAACAGTCACCCTGTGTCCCCCGCCTGACTGTCCATACCTCAAACTCTGCAGCCCTGGTACCTAGGGAGCAAATTAAGAGAAAAGAGGCGCAGACAACCCGTAGGGGTCAACAGAAAGAACATACCAACTAGGTTACAGGAGCACGGGACAGAGCGTCAGCAATGATATTATCCTTGCCACTAATATGTCTAATATCAAGGTTGAACGGTTGCAGGAACAAAGCCCAACGTATCAAACGCTGGTTGGGATTTTGCAAGGACTTCAAAAAAAAATGAGGGAGTTGTGGTCAGTGAAAACAGTTAAAGGGGTCAAAACCAGAACCAACATAGACCTCCTCCTCTCCCCCGTCCACAAAGTTTAAGCCACAAGATACAGTGACTGGAGCAGCAGTCCAACGCTGACTTCACTACTCGAGTGCCCTCCACTTTGCTTTGATCACGGGAGTGATAACATTTTAACAGGTTCACATGGCATAATTTAGAGGACTTCCTATACCCCGGAGTTTCAATAAGATAGTTCAAATCTGACACTTTGCGCAACACAGTAAAAGGACCACAGTATTTTGCCTGAAAAGGTGAACTTACAAGAGGCAAAAGAGCAAGTACACGATCACCGGGGGTAAACTCACGCAACTCCGCCTGTCGGTCATATCTCAATTTCATTTTCTTTTGAGAACATTTTAGCTTTTCTTTCGCCAGTTCTCCAGCTCTATACAACTTCAGCCTAAATCCATTTACATAGTCAATGAGGTTCCGAGGTGGTTCTTCAGGCAAACAACCATCCTGCAGCACTGCTAAAGGCCCCCGTACCTTATGACCGAACACCAAATCATTTGGGCTGAACCCTGTGCTCTCCTGTACTACCTCACGAGCGGATAGTAGTAACCAAGGTAACCCCTCCTCCCAATCTGCAGACAGTTCTGTACAGTACGAACGAAGCAAAGATTTTAAAGTTTGGTGAAATCGTTCCAAAGCTCCCTGGCTCTGGGCATGGAACGCAGTAGACTTGTTGTGTTTAACTTTTAGCTGTTCAAGAACCTGAGCAAATAAATGGGAGGTAAAGTTAGAACCCCGATCTGACTGGATGATTCTTGGAATTCCAAATGTAGAAATGAATTGAGTTAATGCTTTAACTACTGCTTTTGAAGTTATGGTACGCAAGGGAAAAGCTGCCGGATATCTCGTTGCGTGACACATAACAGTTAATAAGTAGTTATGACCTGACTTAGACCGTGGTAAAGGCC